GGTACCCATCCCTACCGACCAGTACAGGACTTTAAGATCAATATGAATATTGTTGTGATTTGAGACATTTGTTGAATTTCTTCAGGCATACAAAACAGTTTTGTTTTGTTTGTCTGTTAATTATTTATGTGTCAGTGAACAGTATGACAGTGCAGGTTAAAAAAGAGCTTGTTTTAATGTCACAGCAGGTTGTGGATTATTCATATATGCTGGGCTTAAAGTGTTGTCTATACTTAATGCCTCTGTCGTTAGTCAGTTAGTGTGAGGGTCTGTGCAGACGTCCACATGTCTGCCAGTTTTTTTTTTTTGTTTTTTTGACCACGTGGACTTGTCCACAGAGAATTTACATTACAGCGCATCAACTACACATGCAACCAGGGAGCAGACGTCAAGAAGTGTAACAGGAATGACTACTCAGCCAGTCGTACTCCAGCTGTCCATGTCTGTAATTCAGGCTGGGAGTTGTTTGTAGTTTCTAAAGACTTGTTGTTTGAGACTTGGAGTTTGCATGTTCTCCTTGTGTCTGTGTGGGTTCTCTCCAGGTACTCTGGCTTCCTCCCAAATTCCAGACATGCAGTTGGTGGGATTAGGTTAGTTGGTAACTAACTTGCCCATAGGTGTGAAGGTGAGCGGGAACGGTCTCTCTGTGTTAGACCTGTAATAGACTGGCAATATAGGGCGAGAGACAGGATACACCCTGGACAGATTGCCAGGGTGTATCCTGTCTCTATAACAGCTTGGATAGGCTTCAACCCCCTCGCAACCCTAAAATTGGATAAACGGAAGAGAAGTGATGGATGTCAGTCGGGCTCTAGACCAACGTTTTCTACATTAAAATAAACAAATTTGTCATAAACAGTTGCAATATGGCCATTTAAGCTGATTAAACACACAAAAGCAGCTTGATGCCAGGTAGAATTGTCTGATATTTGATGTTTGTGCAGTCAGACTCTTAGACCAGCGAAACATGAGAGGGCAGAAGAGACAATTATGCTGTATGTCTGTAGTAATGATTTTTAATTAGAAAAGTTGAAATGGATGATTTGGAAACTCTACATACTGAATCATTCAACTGGTGGCTGGTTTTAGGCTTTACATGAGGATATTTTCTCCATAAATGGATACAGTTGGTGTCCAAAAGACCAAATATCCTGAGGGAGGACCACCAGACCAGATGCCCGCTGTCCCAATGCGAAAGCCAGTCGTGGTCATACATGACGTGAACTTCTGCCGTTGTGTGTACAGCATTAAACTCTAGCTCACCACAACACA